ATTGCTGCGAGACCCTGGCAATTGCTTCTGCACATGACCCAGGGCAGCGGAAACGTCGACCTCGGGGAAGACGATGGAGGTCGGGTTGTCAAGGCAGAGGTGTTGCTTCGAGAACGCCACGCGAAGCCCAAAACAGAGCCTCAACCGAGGAGGGGCGCATATTCGCCGCCGCTTATCACGGACTGGGCGGGCGTTCCAGCACGTTCATCTCCGTGATTGGCGCTTGGACAGGCTATCAAGGCTGGGGAAAGATAAGAACCTGGTCCGGGTTGCAGAAGCGCGGTAGGTCGGCCGGTACTGGGGCGCGTTGACACAAGAGACAGGCGTGTGAACAGCGAGTAAGCGAGCACCAACATGAGACGGTAGATATTCCAGAAAGCGGAGACGACCGGGAGCCAATGGAACCCTGTGCTACTGTGCTCTAGCCAGTGCAAAAGAGGAAGTTGCCAAGTGACCGTCTGGAGCCCGTTCAACTGTTTGTCTGGGCCAGCGACGGTGCGATCCCTCCACTTTGGTGGTAGCGCGTGCCACGGTGCGAAAATATAATTCCGCGAGGGCCGACCTCGATATGAGAGCCAACAGTTCCTCGTCGTTCAACCTCTGTTCAGGAATTGCCCTTGTGCCTATTCGTCGCCATGGCTGATATCCGCGACCAACACAACGGCTCACCAATGCCCGGTGTCGCCCGCAATGACGACCCGGCGCTAGACATTGCGCGCGAGCACCACCACGAACACGTGCACCACAGCGCGCGTGCGGCCCACCCTGACAACGTTGTCTACACCACCGGAACCACAGACGAGCCGACCAGCAAGTTGTTCCGGCCCAGTGGTCTTGACAGCGCCAGCCAATTCACGCCCATTGGTGTTGACAGCACCAACCTCCACCAGCGCCACCCTGTCAACGAGAAGCATGACATTGAGAAGGCCGGTGGCTACGACTACGAAGTCGAGAAGGCTACGCGCAGCTCTTCTGATCCCGAAATGGAGGCAGAGAAGAAGCCCTGGTACTCTTCCTTTGGTGCTTTCTACCGGGCGTTCAGACTGCCTGTCCACATCTTTATTGGAGCGCTCTTCACCGGGTAAGACGCATTTTAACGTCCATCGTCTCGAGTGCTTCGGGCTAACAGTATCAGATGGTGGATTGCCAGTGTAGTCGTGCACCGCAATGACAAGAACTGGATCATCCCATTCTTGTTCTGGCTGGCCATTATGATCCGCCTGATCACTCTGCACATTCCCATTACCATTGTCACCAAGCCTATGCACTGGGTCTGGGCCAACACTGGAACGAGAATTGCCAACCTCATCCCGGAGAAGATGCGCATTCCTGCCGCTGCTTGCCTTGCCATCGCTGTCATCATTGTCGGATCATTCGCCAGCGAAGAGAGCGAAGACAACACCCGCGCAAACCGGGCCGTTTCGCTGTTCGGTCTCGCCGTCTTCATCTTCATGTTCTGGGCGACTTCCCGCAACCGCAGCAAGATTGTATGGCATACCGTCATCGTCGGTATGCTCATGCAGTTCATCATCGCGCTGTTCGTTCTGCGTACTAAGGCTGGATACGACATTTTCAACTTCATCTCCGAACTCGCTCGCCTACTCTTGGGTTTCGCCAGGGATGGTGTCGCTTTCTTGACCACCCCAGAGATCTCTGAGAACACGTACTTCATGTTCAGCGTCATTCCGGCCATTATCTTTTTCGTCTCGTTCGTCCAGCTCTTGTACTACTGGGGCATTCTCCAGTGGTTCATCGGCAAATTCGCCGTCTTCTTCTTCTGGTCTATGCGAGTATCCGGTGCTGAGGCCGTGGTCGCGTCTGCCTCTCCTTTCATCGGCCAGGGTGAATCTGCTATGTTGATCAAGCCCTTCGTTGCCCATCTTACCATGGCCGAGATGCACCAGGTGATGTGCTCTGGATTCGCTACCATTGCCGGTAGTGTTTTGGTCGCCTACATCGGTATGGGCCTTAACCCGCAAGCCCTGATTTCATCTTGCGTCATGAGTATCCCTGCCTCGCTTGCTTTCAGTAAGCTGCGCTACCCGGAGACTGAGGAGACTCTTACCGCCGGTCGTGTTGTCGTGCCCGACGACGATGAGCACAAGGCCGCCAACGCTCTCCACGCATTTGCCAACGGTGCCTGGCTCGGTCTCAAGATCGCCGGTATGATCGTCTCTACGCTCTTGTGTATTATCGCTCTTCTCAACCTGGTCGACGGTCTGCTCACCTGGTGGGGACGCTATATCAACCTCGATGGCGACTACGACTTGACACTTGAGTTGATCCTCGGTTACCTTTTGTACCCTGTCGCTTTCCTCCTCGGTGTATCGCGCCAAGGCAACGATCTGATTCTTGTCGCTCGTCTCATCGGTATCAAGGTCATTACCAACGAGTTCGTTGCGTTCCAATCGCTCACCGACGAGGACCCCGCGTCCCCCTACCACGACCTGAGCCCACGCTCCCGTCTTATCGCTACCTACGCTCTCTGCGGTTTCGGCAACATTGGTTCCCTGGGTACCCAAATCGGTGTGCTCAGTCAGATTAGTCCTGGCCGCAGCGGTGACGTATCGCGTCTCGCAATGTCCGCTCTCATTACAGGTGTTTTCTCCACTCTGTCCAGTGCGACGGTCGCAGGTCTTGTCGTTCTAGACGGATCCAACTTCAGCTCAGGCTCGTAGGCCTAAAGCTGGAAATGTATGAAACGTTGCATTGCTGAGGAGTCGCTGTTTGGTGGTCCTAAAATATTATGTTTAGCCAGTTTTGGTGTACGAGATACCCACAGTAGTACATGGATTTGATGAAGAATCAATACTCTCACTTCAAACCTCTTTCTCAAAACTCCGACCGTGAGACGTGATGATGACTTTAAATTTGGACACGAGACGGGTTATACACTCCGCCCTTGTACACAAGCTCTACCTTGGCGTCGCCCTTTTACTCACGACATGTTGCCTCAATCCGGTTAGCGTCTCCAAGAGCGGCAGTCTCTCCAACATGAACAACACAGCAATCTCGCTTGCGATACGGGTCAGCCTTTGCGGCGTATTGGCGACTAAGAGTATCGTGAGGATAATGATATCTTGACGGTTTCCCATGCTCAAGCTTCGGGATGGGTCAAGCTGTGATGTTTCGTGACGAAACCAGGACAACATAGCAACTCTAGAAGGCTTCGTCCTTGCAAGGCTATTCAACCACCATATATCTCATTAGACTCGCAAAATGCGACGATGCAAGGTCGAGGTTTACGGTGTTGATGTTTGTTCCTGCTCCGCCAAGCCCGAGCTAGCCATGTCAATGGAAAGACCGCCTGCGCTACCGTGACGCTCGCTCCTTCTTAAAGTCCAAGTCCAGTACTCTACGCTGGTCGCACGACACATACTGAGCCAGATATACAATGCATTGGCGACACATTGAAGGGAAGGGTACGTTTTGCATACAAGAGCGCTAGTAGGTGCTATGCCACACCGTTGAAAGGCAATCGAACGCCTGCCCGACCCGCACAGACCGATTGCACTCGATAATCCCCGCTGACGGCGTGATCCCAACGCGATGTGGCATCTGGGGCTGCCAATCCCGCCAAAGAGATAAGAGATGCAGAACAGCCAATGACGCGTCGCGACTGGCAACTAAGCGAGCCTGCTAAGATTGCCGCTGGAAGCTTGACGGAAGAGACGCTGGACAGATGCTTTTTCCGTGCTCCAACGGCTTTCCTGCATCTTGTCATCGAGTTTACAAACCTTGGCCTCGGTAGTTTCGACGTTCATGGCTAGAAAGCTGCGAAATCGTCAGCGTTTACCTCTCGCATGGCAATCCATTCAACAACGCGATACACAGCCGCGTTTTGACAGCCGCGAGCAGCTGCTTGAACCCAACAATCTCGAAGCTGTACAGGCCTGCGATTGGTTACAATCTAGCTGTGAGTAAAAACTGCCACACAAAAGTTGGCATCTTATCTACATCGTTCCGCCGCGTTATCGGACCATACCGGGGTTGGAAGATCGTTTCCGCACATGGTGTGCATCCTCCTGTTGCCCAACCCCACGAAAGCCTGCAGAACCATGCAGATGTCGAGCTGTGATCGCTGTCACCTTTAATAATTATCCGCGAATATGCACGCTAGCCCTACGGTTGGCTATACCTGCCTTATGCGTGCGGCCGATGAACGGTAATGCTCTTGCTTTATCATGGTTAAAGCCCTCTCCTAGAGGTCGTATGCCGGCAGATCATGACCGAAGCTTTCTGCGAAATCTCCCAAGCGAAGCTAAGCAGTAAGGTTAATCATATTTCAACTTCCGACATCCCTCTGGCATCGCACTTTCCACTTGCCAGCTGCTCGTCACTTGAGGTGTCTTTAACTCACCCAGCATGAGTACACCTCCGCCGCTAAGCCAAGGCTTTGGCTATGGCATTGTAATCGGTTTAGGCTTTGCCTTCTCGTAGGTCTTACGTCTCTCATACATGGGCATTACTAACTCGGCAAAGCTTCGGTATGATCTTGACGACATTCGTGCTGAAGAGATACAACTATGAACTCCAAACCTCTGAGATGTTCTCGACAGCTGGTCGTACAGTAAAATCGGGACTTGTCGCGTCAGCCGTAGTATCATCTTGGACATGGGCGGCAACACTTCTCCAATCGAGCGCAGTCGCCTACCGATATGGAGTATCTGGCCCCTTCTGGTACGCCTCGGGAGCGACTGTGCAGATCATCCTATTTGCTACGATTGCTATCGAGCTGAAACGAAGAGCACCTAATGCACATACCTTCCTTGAGGTTATTCGAGCCAGATACGGTCCAGTCACGCACGTCGTTTTTATGGTCTTTGGTCTCTTTACCAACATCCTTGTCACTTCGATGTTGTTGACTGGAGGCTCCGCTGTTGTGACTTCGGTACGTCAAACGCGGCGAATGATATATCTGTACTAACCTACTCAAGCTCACCGGCATGCCAACTGCTGCTGCTTGCTTCCTGTTACCTGTTGGTGTAGTTCTTTACACCATGTTTGGAGGCATCAAGGCCACTTTCTTGACTGACTATGGTAAGTTACTCTCTTCTACATTTGCAGCAAAAAGTCGCTAAAATTACCTCTAGCACACACTGTTGTCATTCTGATCATCCTCTTGATGTTTGCCTTCACCGCATATGCGACCAACGAGAATCTCGGAAGCCCTGGGAAAGTCTTCGATCTACTGGTACAAGCCGCATCGGATCACCCAGTCGAAGGGAACGCCGGAGGCTCTTACCTAACCATGCGATCGAAAGAAGGTGCAATCTTCTTCGTGATCAACATCGTGGGCAACTTCGGTACTGTGTTCTGCGACAACGGATACTATAACAAAGCCATCGCTGCCAGTCCCGTCGATGCTCTTCCCGGATACATCATTGGTGGTCTGTCCTGGTTCGCGATTCCATGGCTAGCCGCTACCACGATGGGTCTCAGCGCGATCGCCCTGGAGAACAACCCTGTTTTCCCCGGCTATCCTAACCGCATGGCTGATGCTGATGTGACGGCTGGGCTTGTGTTGCCCACGGCCGCTGTTGCCCTGATGGGTTCGGGAGGAGCGGCTGCAGTTCTGCTTCTCGTCTTCATGGCTGTGACCAGCGCCATGTCTGCTGAGCTGATTGCCGTTTCTTCCATTTTCACCTATGACTTCTACCAGGTAAGCTTGACTTTACTGGTCATGAAAGCAAATTATTGAGCTGACGAAACATAGACTTATGTCAACCCTAAAGCTACAGGGAAACAACTCATCTACATGTCTCACACCATGGTTGTCGGCTTCGCTGTCGCAATGGCAGCCTGGAGTACAGGGCTTTACTACATCGGCATCAGCATGGGCTACCTATATCTCCTCATGGGCGTCATAATCTCGTCCGCTGTCCTGCCCGCCACTCTAACGCTGATGTGGTCGAAGATGAACTGGGTCGCAGCAACCTTCACACCACCTCTCGGCTTCGCCTGCTCCCTTATTGCTTGGCTCGTCACCGCACAGAAAGAGAGTGGAGAACTCACTGTGCTCACTACCGGCGCCAACAACCCTATGCTAGCAGGAAACGTTGTCGCCCTCCTCTCTCCCATTGTTTTCATCCCCGTCTTCACGTACGCTTTCGGACCCCAGAACTACGATTGGCAGAGCATGAAGGCTATCCGTAGAGGCGACGACCACGATCTTGCTCTTGACGCGAATGTCGACCTAGAACGAATCCCCGGTGAACAACGACGAGCCATCGAAGCTGATGAAGAGGAACAAGCCAAGTTGCTCAAAGCATCGCGTATTGCGCGCTGGCTCACGCTCTTCATGGCAATATCATTCCTCGTGCTTTGGCCCATGCCCATGTACGGTTCTTCGTATATTTTCAGCAAGAAGTTCTTCACTGGATGGGTTGTTGTGGGCATTTTGTGGATGTTTTGCTCGTGCTTCGCAGTAGGGTTGTATCCGCTTTGGGAGGGGAGAAAAACAAGTGTCAGGACATTCAAGTCGATCTACATGGACATCACTGGGAGGAAGAAGCCGGGTAAGGGGCCAATGGTTGTGGATGGTGAAGGCACGGATACACCCCCGGAAGCTATGCATGAGAAGATGGTGGAGAAATGAGTTGTAATCGGAAGAGAGCAGGATTGTCCATCGCTGTCTACCTAAGAACACGACCGTAAAGACCGCGTAGCTAGAGACTGAGCAGCCTCGGCATTAGCCCACAAGGCGGTTCCAAGCCACTAGTGCTACAATCGACGTGTTGCGCGAGATTCCTGATAGAGTATACCAAGATGTTTCAAGGCTATTTCCGTCGGCACAATTCGTATTTGCCGGTGTTGACCGAAGTTTTCTAGGATGGGTCTCTGACCATTGGATCTGGTGGCTATGCCTTCCGTGGTCTAGCGTCGATGAGGCTCGGCTTAGCGACCCACGTGGCAATAGCCATCCCACGCAAAAATCGCTACCCCTAGATGTACCGGCTGACCCATTCACAGTGCCGCAAGTCGTCTTGTACATGTCGAGTGTGACGGGTACTACGATTTTAGCATGCAATGTGCAAATCCGACGGAGCAAGCTCTTCCTGTGCACCTGCCTTTTCGATCCAAACATACGCCCACGATGCCTAATGACAGGCGGTGAAAAGATCTAGAAGTCACGACTTTGCCCGAGCGTGAGGCTAAACTAAGTATCGTCAAATTGTCCCTTGCCTTGGCCGATTGATTTTTCTGACTGAACCCTTGTCTCCACGTCTTCTCCAGTTCTTTCCTTCTTCTCTCCACATTCCTTTTCCCTGTGTGCGTTCTTTGGTCTGTTCATTTGTCAGCGAGGCGTCAGATGAGTGTCAGTCTTACAGGCAGTTGTCTGCCACCATCAAGCAGTTTACCACCTATCCGTTCGCTACTATCGGCATCGGAAGATCAGATCTTCGCCGCTCTTAAGAACCTACAGACGCTGTACTGTCCTGTACGCCTTCCAACGACTATCTCACACCCGGCATCGAAAAGAGAGCACACATCTATCGTCTCACCCCCTGGACCCGCGGATTCCGGTTACGCGTCTCAAGACGAAGGCGAAGATGATGAGAACCAGGTCACACCCGAAGAGGTGACAGCAGCTCTCCGTGCAGACCCATTCGAGCGCACTTTCGCCACCCAATGGCTAAACTCGCTCCTCGCGCGCTCGGAAGAGATGGAAGTCGATGACGATGTACGAGAAAGACTTGTCGACGATGCCGGCTTCATTCTCTCAAACCTATTCGAGAATTCCGATGAAGAGGAAGAGGCGCTGACACGAGACTTCTGCTTCCCCACATCATCTGGAGATTCAGTCAAGGTCACGCTCAATGATGCGCCACTGTCAAGTACAGATCATACAGCTGTCGGACTTCAGTCTTGGGGTGCCAGCATCGTACTCAGTAGCATGATGTGCGCCGAGCCAGAGCGCTTTGGACTGACTGAAGATAGTCTTGCGGGGAAGCGGACAATCATCGAGCTCGGTGCAGGCACTGGACTCGTCAGCTTAGCGGTCGCGAAATTACTTCCTGTGGTCGGCGCTGGACCTGTCAGCATCACGGCGACCGACTATCACCCTGTGGTTCTAGAGAACTGCAACGCAAACATCGAGACAAATTTCCCTTCGAGCTCATACGACACACCACCTGTAGACACCGCAATACTGGACTGGGCCCAACCTCCCACACACATGAAATCAGCATCCGATCTTCTTATCGCCTCAGACGTGGTCTACGCTCCTGAACATGCCGCCTGGCTACGTGATTGTGCGGCACATCTTCTGGCTCAGAACGGTGTTTTCTGGCTCATGGTCACAGTGCGCAAGACGGGCAAATTTGAGGGCATTCCCGATACTGTCGAAGCCGCTTTCGAACCGGAGTTCTGTGTCAAGAGCGACAGCGGGTTGACGTTCAAGATCCTGGAAAGAGAATTTGTAGAGAAGAGACGGGGTATTGGAAGAGGGGACGAGAGTGGATACAACCTTTATAGAATTGGATGGGCATAGACCAGAGCGATTTATAGACTAGACAGCGCAAGCGACCTAGCGGGCTTCATCAGTGCCCACGATATTACGAATTCAACACCCAGATCTAAGACCCTCGCAACGAACCAAGGTGCTCTTACGTACGCACCAGACACTTCCTCATCCTCTGACACTCAGTAATCCCCAAAATTGTATCTTGCTCGCGCATGTTTGTCCGCTTCTGGGTACTTTTTGACGTTGACAGCCACAGTCGCAACACCGAGGGGGATATCAACCGTCCGCACGATGCCCAATAACCTTATTGCAAACACCCACATCCTGTCGTTGACCTCTAATCCCTTGACTACGAACGGCTCAAGTGGCAGCGCCAGCTCCTCGATTGGTATGAGCACAGCAAGCTTCTCGAGCGTGTCCTCCATATCGTCAAATCTCGCCTGTATTCCAGGAATAATTTTTAATCCAACATCCCAAGCCTCCCTCATATGCTTGAAGTAGGCGCTATGAATCTTTCTCGCCATGAGGAATTTGGCGTTGTTCATGGGATCAGTCGGGTTGTCGAGCCATTCTGCACCGGCTATTTGTGCTTCCGTTTCTACCTGCTTCAGTTTGATCTCTGCCAAGTCGATGAGCTTTCGCACAAAGTTTTGTGTCATGTTCAGCAGTCTTCTAGTATCCTCCATGGGGCCATTGATCAGGGTTACAAGAGCAGGATCCGGACAATTTTCGGCGAAGTCTTTCCATGCCCTACGCTACGATTGAAAGAGCGAGTTGATGTGAGTGAACAGATATGTAAGCGGGGTAAGAGAGAATTTCAGGACGAGCTTTTTGGTCTGGGAAGACATGCTTTGGTTGAAGGATTGGTGCCGGTTCTTGGAGAGCGGTGAAGAAGCAAGTGATACGCTCGTTTGCTCCTTGTTTGGACCAGTCAACACCAAACTTTCTCCTGTGGCTGCGCATGCGTGGAAACTGCGAGAGAAAAGATGAACGACAATGCTTGCTGAGCCATGATTCCATATTGCCATGGGCGGTGTCGATCCCTGATTCCTGGACCCTTCAAACATCGACCTCTCTCTTCCTCTTTCTTCCGCTACTACTTTCCAGCTGTTCCTGGAATATGCGATGATCAGTGATGCCTGGCAGAGGAAATACATAGTCAGCCATTTCCTCGCCTACAGCACACCAAACTCCGTGTACCCATCCCGTATTTTCCATGTAACAAGTCCGGCTGTCCCAGCTCTGTCTTGTGCCCTTGCCATCTTCTATAGCGACTGATAAGCTCACGACCCGGTCTTTGTTGTAGGGCTTTCGCGTGGCGTCCCAGCTGGTAAATACGTTGGCGAGAATCGGCTTCCCGTCTTGTGTTTTGGTGTCTGGATACTCCATTATCCAGCCGTCCGGCGTCGGCTCAATAAAGATGGCAACAGGCTCTCCATCGAAAGGGGCCGAAGCTAATCGCGCGAGACGTAGCTTTTGATCGTCCTCACAAAGAGCTTGATAAAGGACGGACATCATATCCATTACATATGATGCAGACGGCGGTACGTCTTCCCCTTGTCGCTGACGTTGGTCGAACGATAAGTGCCGCAGCATATGCCTGGCGAGCTTACTACCTGGCCATAGTGCCTCCAGCTTCCGGACCACCAGATTCAATACTGTGTGTGCATTCTTGTTCAGCTTCTTGCCCCCAAGCATTGGACCTCCGCCCATTGGCGACAGGGTTTGCCGATCCGAGGTCGTGAGGAGGAGAGGGTTGTATCTATGTGCTCTATCCTTTGATGGCCTTTTAGGCAGTAGCGTGAACAGGAAGCCTTTCGTCTCAAGACCACGAGGTGTGATGATTGGTGACCTGAAACGGCAACGGTCGACGAAACTCTGCCGGTATCTGAGGTTAGGAACAACAAATTTGTATTTGCATGCATCTAGGTATGACTGCAATGTGAATGTCATCAGATCTTTCTGCAACGATACATCAGCCAGAATCTCGCCATTCATGAGCACAAGTGCGAGCAGTGCTACAGAGAGGCTGTATTGGCCCACCTCGAGCAAGGGAGAATCTTTTGCGAGGTTTAGTCGCTTATTGAACCTCAAAGCGTTTGCAAGAATGGCGATCCTATCCTCCTCATGCTCCAGTGATCGGTTGCAAATGTCTTCCAGTACGCTGTTAGTGGTAGTGGGGTAGGCTTCAACTCTAGGGTTGCTCTCGTCGCTGGCATCATCCCTCCAAAGACGCCGGGAGACCTGAGGGATACCCGGTCCCCCAAATACGAAGCGCTTATTGCAGATGTTGTACTGTTTTGCCTTTCCCAAAAACTCAGTATTCGGCCATCGTCCTTGATCCTTGTAGGTGGCCTCGCAAAACATGGTCACGGATTGTCGGAAATCCTTGAGTCTGATTTGTAATTCCCCCATCGTATCACCAAAGTTGTATCCGCGATCTTTGCGAATACCTCGGGTACATGGTATAAGCAGGACCATCCGATGGGAAGCCAGATGATCTTCCTGGAAGATCCATCCGCGCGACCAGCGTGGATCGCTCAAGATACGCAGGATGAGCATCTGTACTGCCCTCTCGTCAACTCCGGGTCCCAGTCTTGGCAAGCTTTGGGACCTGGGATTGGCAAAGATTTCGCCTTGAAGCAGCTCCGATAGGAGGTCAATTTCGTGCTCGCGTGCAAGCTCCACCGTAAGTAAGCCAACTGACAAGGTGCTGCCGCCATACACAACGTCCATGATCTGAACACCAAGCTCTTTGTCCTCTGGGAAGATGTGTTCGTCTTCGCGTCTCTGATATATACATTCCTTGTCAATCCATAATTTGGACGCGTTGATGCTCTTGCTCTGGGCGAATCGAATTACTCGATCCATATAGCGGCCTGGAAAGCTACTTTTATGGGCTGGGGCATCAGGTCTCTTGATCTGGTAGTCGAAGACAGGTGGCTTGGTTGCACCATATAGATGGTCATGATGGCGTTCTTCCCACCTCCAAGAGACAGCGATGTATTCAACCTCGCTGTCGTCATCTTCGCGCTCTGTAACAGGGATTTCATGCGACGGTATCTCTGGATCAAGCCACGGGTCATCGGGAGGCTCGTAAGCGTAAGAGACATATTGTTGAACTTCCTCGTCCAGTAGGTTTGGGACTTTGGAAATATCTAAGAAGCGAAGTTTCGATACCCAGTCTTCAGCCTTCTTCCGATCAGCATGGATGTGTTGGATCTCTAGCAGTTGCTTGCGGAAAGCCGTGATATCGCCATCGAAGATCTCGCCGAACGTCTTGTGAATATCGTTCTTCATAATGTTAGCGTTTGAGTGTTGTGGCTGATGAGAAGGTGCAATGATGAGATGGAAACGGTAACGCGTCGAGTTGAGACGCGCACGCGTTGTTCCACGTCATCACGTGCTCAGCTTGGCAGCGACGTAATAACGCGCAACCATCCCGATCTCTTGATGCAACAGCATTAGTTGAGTCAAGTGCGAAAGTCGATGCACCGCAAGCTGCTCGGTCTCAATATGCGCCGCAACTACGTCGCCAGCTTCCAGATCTATCTGGGTCGTCGTAATGGTACTTCGTGCAAATACGAATTGACTGCAATGGCGCGACGAAATGCAGCAGAGTACTATAGGCCGCTGCCAATAAGTTCAAAGTACTTCCCAGCAACCTGAAGGTGTTGTCCGCTGCTAGGGGTCGTTGAACTTAGAAGTAATATGAGGAAAGAGATGCGAGCCTGCCGAAGGACTAGGCCACGTGCTCCATCCAAAAGCGGTTATGCCTCGGCATGATCGTTTCAAGGGTCTCGGCCCACTCACTCACTCACATGCTTCCCCAGATTCGCAGCTGCATACATCATCACTGCTGTCACAAGCCTCCGAAGCTCTTATATACCCCAGACTGTTCCGCACTCGCGATTTCGACTCCACAAACCTGTTCCGCCTAGCTACTATCGCCATCAGTCTCTACCTCACTCGAAGCGCATCACCACTCTAGCAACACATCGCCAACATGTCTTTCAAGAACGGTATGCACATTTCGATCCTACCATACCTCCTATGGGACCTCAGAATAGTGTAACTAACACAGGTCTAGACGAATTCCCCGCCTCCGCCGCCTTCGACGAGATCGCGCAAGCCCTTTCCGCTTCCGACGCCGACCGCAAAGACGCCATCAAGAACGGCAAGGCCATCTTCGCTTTCACACTCAAGAACAAGGCCGGCACACAAGAAACATGGTACCTTGATCTCAAGGAGACCGGCACGGTCGGCAAGGGTCCTGCTCCGGCGGGCAAGAAGGCTACTGCCACACTGGTGCTGAGCGACGAGGACTTTGGCAAGCTTGCGGCCGGCAACGCGAATGCTCAGAAGCTGTTTATGAGCGGGAAGTTGAAGGTCAAGGGAAACGTTATGAGCGCGACGAAGCTCGAGCCTATCTTCAAGAAGGTGCAGAACAAGGCTAAGCTATAGATGCGAGGCTGGAGGCGAATATGTATACCATCCTCTCGAATAACACACTTCTAATTAATGGGTGTTCAACAACTCAGCGGATGCTAATGACTACAATGTCTGCGCGTGATATATATATATACATATATTGAGTTTGGGGCATAAACATGGGCTGAAAATAAACAGGCGGACGCCTTCAGGTACGACAAAATATGAGCACAGCCCTGGAGTTGGTTCATCTCAAAGTAGACATCCCAATCACGCTGAACCGATGAGATGTGCGCAAGCATAAGGTAAAGACCAGAAGGAAGTGTCATTGAAGGATCGTAAGGTCATACTATTCTACTCATACCATCGTAACTATGCGCAAACGTGATTTTGGAGTAGTCGTAAAGGCCGTAGAGACGTTGAGTCGTAAAGAGCGTGAGGAAGACAAGACAAAGGAAGCATGAAAAGAGAGGACATGAGAGGCCGTTATCCAAAACCCAACAACAAGAACGATAAAAATAGAAAGCAGACGCCATTAACCATGCCCGAGGGGTATCAACCGTGACACACCACAGCCAAACTCCCTAGTACCAGACGAGAACCCAGGAAAACAAGCACAGCCACTTCACCTGACCATAACAGGCGAGCTGCCCTTCCAGCTCGAAAGATGCAGGAACCTCTTGCCTCCACCCCAGAAGCTATCTTTCTTACTCGACTGTCGCGGTCTACCCAACCACCTCGACAGCGCATGTTCTCTCCTCTCCTTTCCACTAACCTCTTCGATGGCCTGTTCGACCTCCTCGAGCAACGGGCCCATGACCCGCGGCTCGGCATCGATAGGCGAGAGCATAATGGGAACATCCATGACCTCTTCTTGGTATTGCTTCCATCGATCGCTCCCAGAGATGGTAGTTAGAGGTTCAAGCGCGAGATCCCAGTCACCCTCGCGCAGTTTGACGTCTTCAAAGTTGAACTCGCGGAGGGAGCGCTTGTGCTTTGTAATGAAGTCGCTGATTTGCGCGGAGTCCATGAGCGCGTTTTCTAGCTCCATGACGCGGAGGCGAGGGAACTTCAAGGGGCGGGGACCATTGGTTTGGCCGCGGAGAGAGGGGTGGGTGGACTCCTCTCGGCTGGGAAGCATGCAAGGTTCCCGGTCGAGTGAGAGGGGGGAAGGCCCTCGCTCGCCTTTCCAGCGGAAGAAGACACGCGTTAGGCCGCGCGAGAGTGTGGCAAGGTAGGCGTGTAGGATGCGGAGGTGTTCTAGAGATTGGGCGCGGGTGCGCGATGAGCTTGAGTTGAAGGGTATGCTTTCCATGCAGATTGAGAGGCGACGGATTTGACCCCAGCGCTTGGCTGAGGATGGTGTGCTGCCGAAGCCGTGCATGGGGTGGAGGTATAGGAGGCCACCAGGATGGATGGGGTGGAGGGAAAGAGCAGAGAGGCTGTACAATGGAGCGCGCTCAATGGCGATGCGGAGAGAGATGAGCGCATAGTCGACTACACCTCGTCGGTGTCGAAGTGAGCCAGTAGATCCCGGACATGAGACCTTGAGATGCGTGAGGTTGATCAGTTCAGAGAAGGCGGCGCAAAATGCAGGGACATTGGTCGCGGCATGGAATAGTGGTGGGTACTGTTTGATGAGCAAGTCCTGCATCTCCCAGTTGCCATACTTGGGTGCCTTGTCTTTGGCTGGTCCATGTTGCGGTGTCTGGACTTGGGGCTCGTAGATGAACTGCTTCTCTGTGCCAGTGCACGGGTCGATGATGGGTGGCAAGCAGGTCTCTGGGCCATGTGGCATGTGGAAGGTAAAGGTCTTGACGTGACGGCCTATCCTCGATAGCGCTTCGATGCGCGCTGGCTTGGAGAAGGTAGATGTCTTGAAGGTCACAGTCATCTTCTCAAAGAGCCGTGGCGCAGCCTTTGATGAGAAGTCATGGCATACAAGGCGGAAATTGGATAGGTCTTCAGTTTCCATGTGATCCAGTACGTTGTCGCGGCAGGCGTCGTTTAACCAGAAGCGCAAGAAGACTGAGCTTGTGGAGAGGACCAGGTTGCAGATGGAGCCATTGGAACGAATCGCTTCATAACGTTAGGATGAATGCGCGCGCATTGCGACGGGGTACTTACATCGTCCATCTACTGTCGTCGCAGGTGTCAATGGGATCTCTCCAAACAGTAACTTGGAGCTTGCGCGCGATACTGTTGTCGCAGCGCTGGCATAGCTGTTCTGGCTCTCACCCGAATGCGAGCGCTTCAGTGGCGGTGGCGACGATCGCTGTGAGTACATGTTGTAATAGTCGAGTGGGTCGCATGCAATAGTGTTTGTTCGTAAAAAGGTCGTTTATTCTTCAAGGTATCAATCTCGTGGTAAATCTCAAGTAAATCGTAAAAGTCGTTTCAAACATCCAGCATTCGAAAGAGTAAGAGCGAAACCTCAGGAAACAGAAAATCCGACGGGACCAGCCACGACCTCGTCCCCAGCTGTATTTACCACAGCGTGGTGCATGGTTGCAAAGCGGGGCCAGACGCTACTACACGTGAGCTGCAGGTGTGAGTCAAAGGTCGTTCCCCTAGATGCCAACGAGCCCGCCACCGGATTCCCAACTCTTAACGCAAAGCAGCCGAAGAATTGATCAGAAAACGCGACCATCTCGCGGTGGGTAGACGTGTATATATGGTGTTAGACGCGACGATTCGACCAAGTGGTCGAGTGGGGCTGCAGCCTGGAGCCGGCTTGAAACGTTTCACGCATTCTGACCAACCGGCTCGAAGCATGCACGGGATAGTGTATGCGGCTCTTGCATTAGTCTGGCATCGTGTCTGCATCCGGGTCTTGGAAGCTGTGGCTAAACAGTCACGACTGGCGGTCAGCGATCCCGTCGCGTGCAGGGCTGTTACTCATCCCGTAAGTCAGGCACGACGCGTCTGTTAGTGCGCACAGTGGGCTCTGGACGTTGCTCTGGAGAGTCGCGATTCGAGGACCACAACAACAACAAATGCCGTACTTGCATTGGTGCCGGCTATGCGCGTCTGTTTTGAAGGTGAAGGCTGTTTTGGACCAAGCTATCGATAGCTAGCCGGAAGGCGCGTCTGTGGCTAAGGCAGTCACTCAGTGTCAACACCATCAGAGTATCGTGACCGCATTGTGTCGCGTCGAATGCACGATGCAGCCTTGGGAGTAGGCGGTAGGTCTTTGTTTGTGGTTTTGGTACATCCGATACCTACAGCGCGTTCGCAATGTTGCTCCCACAGACGCGTCTGCGCAAAGCTCCCAACCACAACAAAGCTAGCGGTCGCAAACATCTACCAGTGGCACACCATGACCGCGTTAATGCCTCACACGCCTCACTTGATGGCTGGTGACAGGCATGGCTTGCATAGTGCCATTCTGCCGCTCTCCACCGATCTGCCGTGTAGCTTCACCGGTCACACGGTATGCCCCGCACCTGAACACATCTATCCAAGACTGCCGTCTAGACGTACAAACGTTTTGAATGATTACATTGAGCTACATAGTGATTCGGTATTAAAGCCAACTGTAACGAGGAAAAGCTTGCGACATACACCATGCTACAATATACTGTTTCAGATTGCTCCGCCGATAACTACAGAAAAGCTATTAGCAAGGGTGATTACTGGGTAGAAAGAGATCAACCTCCGCCATAGAACTGCTGCATGCCCCCCACTTCGGTTGCAGCACGCATGCTTCTTAGGCCGTTCGCTGCGGCCCAAAGGTTCTTCTTGGTCGCATGTCGCCCGCCTAGACTCGCTCATCCCCTACCATATCGCCACTTCTCGACGCGTCCAGGGTGCTGATCCGCGGCATAGCCCTGTTCCTTGACGTTTACAGAGGAATTCGTTTCCTCTCAGGTGGTAACCATTATATGGTGTCCATGGAAGGCTTTGGCGGTGATTCGTGTTGATGTACCGACAAACACGTAGTGTAATCCTCAGGGTGCACAGCAGCTAGACTTCAGGCTGTAGAAACGAACATAGGCGTAGTATACGTCTTCATCGTCTCTTTTCGTCGGAAAATCTAGGCGCGCCTTCGGGTGCAGGAGGGGGCTGGTAACTACCTCTGTACCCATTGATCGGGGGAAGATCCTGTCCAATCGCGTCCTCGTAGCTCGGCGGCGCATCGTCATAAGCGGGAGCATGCTGGGGCTGTACTGGCTGCCCAAAAGACGCGTTAGATGCGTTGAAACCTCCTTGTGTTGGCGTTGTTGGTGTGTGAGCAGCTGCTTGGGGCGGTGGGGCAAGTGTGGTGGGTTTGTCTGCAGGGAAACCACCTTCCAGGAGTGCTTTGGGTGGCGCGATGCCCGAGTAGACCTTGACTGGTAGTCTGAGGGGTAAGACAATGAGCTGATCTTCACCGTGCTTGTAGCTCCCATAGCCAACGCCAACACGTATCTCCAACTCGTAGAAACGCGCGAGGTTGCAGGACGTGAAGGTGGGTGGCACCGTATTGGGTACCGGCTTCCCAGACCAGTACTCGGCATTAATGGGCACTTCCGTATCCAGAGGGTCAGAAGGACTTCCAATGGGAATGGCCATGTTACTGAAAGAGCACAGAATCCAGCTGTTCGACTCTGTCCGTGACACCTCATGCGCGCGTACCTTGGTATACCCTATCAGCTCAATCTGGAGCATCTGCAGATATATGTTCTTTGTGCGCGCGCTGACGTTCTTCACAAGTAGTCTCAGCGGTAAGTCTTGGTTGCTAGTGAGAATGGCAGGATTAGGCAATCGGGCATCAATGGCTATCCGAGGTGGCACACTGCCTGTCGTCGGTGATGGCGGAGCACTTCCTGTCGAGTTCTTTCTATCAAAGAAGCTCATTCGTTTGCCTGCCGCTACACTGGGAGCATTCTCAAGGAACTCATGTTGTCGCCTCGCATACGCCTCGCCGTCTGTCTTGTCGGGTCTCGGAGGTTCAATCGGAAGGAAATTGAAGTTCGCAATTGCCCTGGGATTCTCCTTGAAGAACTGCGGTCTGTTTACTGTGACCTTGACAAAGTATCGTATCTCTGCCTCCCCCGGAAATCCACCCAGTGTAGGAGGTAGTGTCGCCTTTACGTGTTGTGTCGGAGTCTTTGCGAATTCGGGTATCGCGTTCGAAAAGGAAACGTTGGAGATGGGGTTATTCGTCTGCTGGCATTGCGTATTGAGAGGAAGCTGAGAGGGTTGTTAGCTATATGCGATATGTTGACGTGTATTGCGCGTTGTACCTTGAACTGGAACGGGTACTCAAAGGACCCGGCGTTGATGGTGAAGGCTGCCTTCGGATTCTGGGCGACATCTTCGGGGCGCACATTTGTCGGCCACACCACCTGTGTCTTGTACAGGAACTTGTGGACTTCCAGCACTGGTCGCTGTTTGTCTGGTCTGTTTGGGTGTATGGGTGCCAGCAGTCGCGTCCTGCTTTCGCCCTCTAGCTTCACGATAATGCTGCTAATGTTGGTCGGATTCGGCACCCGCAGATGGACTCTGCCTTGGATGACGTCGAGATTGGTGTAGTGCTCGTGAGGGTTCTCGAGCACTATGTTGACGATCATCTTGAAGGTTCGCGTTCAGGATTAGTGGCCAGTATTTCAATGTTGCTTCCAGGCACCGGGTGGCTAAGTAAACGGGTAGTCGCGAAGCTTGTAGAAGTGAACCGACATGTCAAGGATAAAGGTTGTAGCTGGGGAGCAGACGATCAATTTAGCGCATGAAGTCAGTCGGTGATGCAGCGGCTAAGCCTGGGGAACGCGTGTCATGTCGTGGGAGTGTTTGCGATGCGGGCTGGGCATCTCCAGAACGGATGCCCGCGGGGTTCCTTCTGCCTGACCAGGGTCCGTCCCCAACGTCATAACCCAACGCGAAGGCTTTTCAACGCAACGATCACCCAAACCACTCTCTTGCACGGCTTCTGCGGCAACGCTCAAGGTTGCACCCTGAAGAGAGTTTCTTTTTGCGTATTTACTTAAACTTTGAGTGTACATATTCGGCATGCCATGTGCCCATTTCGGACAATGTGCCGGACACAGCCACAGCCATAGCCGCACTTCCGGGCTGAAGCTGACCCCTGTCTTACATGAGCATCGCGTCGTGTGACTGGGCGCAACGCTTCCTCAGCTGAGGCTCATTAATCAATAGCCTTCTCTCAAAGGGCGGAGCTGAATTCCACGACGACGCACAAGCTTGCTCAGATGTCAGATACAGGAGGACCAGAACGCATCCACAACTGCGACTTGTTGGTGTGCATCTGGCAAGTTCACAGATCTTCTTTGGCCAGCATATCTGTGATCTGTGTCAGTGATCTGTCACCAAAGTTTGGACCAGAGCTACTGACCGCATATGTCAAGATAGAATGCAATGGCATTGAAGCTACATCATGGTCAGCTCAAGTTCAGCAGTCGTTGTGAGCGTTGCTTCCATACTTGCGCTTGCTGCCCGTAAGCTCCCAAAAGAACCACTTCAGCCGGTTCGTCCAGTTGATCAGGTCGAGATGGCTTACACCAATCAAGGTGCCTTTGTAGTCGCCCCACCGACTCGACTCGACGCTATCAACGTGGTTAGTTGTCATTAAGCGTACCAAACGCCAGCCGTCCACGCACCTGACCAGGCCATCGTTGATGCCCTCCTTTGCCTTGACGATACTGTGGGAAGGCGCAAAGACGGACCACCGAGTGGGTTCGAGAGATGCGCCATATGAGTAATACTTGACATCAGGTATGTCTGGCGTCTTGGGATTGAAGTTATTCTTCATGTACTCTTGCGTGAGTTGGGAGAAGGCACCAGTCTCAAGACCAAAGTACTCCATAACACTGTAGACGCGTTTGATTCTGCGTGCTAGAAATAGTTTAGTAGAAGCATTCAAGAGGTATCACTGACGTACGACCGATCGTCTCGAACATGTAGTCTGCAAAAGCAGAACCCCTGTGTGGAGTGGCTATGGTGGTCAACGAGAGAATCTTGAAGTCAGTCGGCCGGAGCTGGCTGATCATATATCGTGAGTCGAGACCCCTACGTGTATTTAGTGACTGCACTGCGTGGGTGTAGGCACTGATTACCCCTAAGTAGAGGTCAGTCACTGATTGTTGTACCATGTCAATGTGCCAATACCATGCTATGTCTATGAATTGTCAGTGGTCTGCTATGCAGCATCTCATTGGGTCAATGCGGCTCACGCGATAATGTTGACCTGCTTTCCCTTCGCTTTGAGCGCAATGCTCTCGGCCAATTTCGCAGAGCGCGCCTCGATACTGCCACTGGCCGGGACCGCAGCCACAATAACCTCGATGCCCTTGTGCGCCAGCGCATCTGTGATGCCCCGCCAGTATTGTATGCCAGGTATGAACTGTCCCGCGAGTCGTAGTTCGTCGAAGCCTAGCAAACCGTGTGCAAGGACTATGGTGTGTTTCTGGAAGGGTCAGGGGTGCGATGTGCGAAGGACGAAAGCACATACAGGTGCATCTACTTTTCGTTAGCTACTCCAGAAGTTGAGTTTGATAGTGGCATGGGCATACCATATTTCTCGCGCATTACGGCAAACTCGTCTACAATCTCGCGACCAAAGTCGGAGATGCGCGGGTCTTCTTTGCGACATTGCGAGCTGCTGAACTGGCGTGTCGCATTTATTGGTGAGGGTATACATGATGTGGTTCTGTATACAGGCGAGCGAATGGTCGCTCGAGCACAGATTCGTATCATTGGGTGTGGCGCATCGTATTGCAGTTTGGGGACGCGTTGATGCTCGAGCGATAAAGTTCCACAGCAGTGACGTAGGCCGTCGGGGAGCTAGGACGAGCGTGGGCCAGGGTCCACAACGAGTAAAGAGGTGCAGCAACAACTAAAGATATGAGGACTTGGTCTGCTATTCACACATGCGAGGCTAAGAACACAGTACAGATGCATACTTCTAGGACGTCACCAATGTAGTTGTATGCGCTATACAAGAGTGTCGGGTTGGTGACCTCGGAAGACTGGAACGCACGTCACGGATAGATATCAACTCGACTATTGAGCCTAGAAGACAAAGGCATATTGAACTGTAATCCATTCACCAAACTCGCAGCATATCGTCTATTGTTGGTATGTTCGAGGCCGATAGATCGACCTTGACTGTCTCGGGCCCGTCAAAGATCATGTACAAGGAGCGCTCTTCTTCATATGTCTCCTCAACAGCATCGCACCAGTCTGACCCCACGCTTCGTCCCACCACTTGTGTTGGCGCTCTAGTCCTGCTTGCCCGGTGGCTTGGGGTGCGCGTTTACGACGGCCTCGATGAGCTGGTCGACGACCTTGCTGCCAGACTTGTTGCCGATCTCGTCAATCTCCTTGACCTTGGCATCTGTGTCCTTCTTCGCGTCCTCTTCAGCCTTCTGGTTGCCTGAGCTGTGCTGCGCTATTGTTAGTCTCCCACTTCCGTTACGCGTATAGTAGGTCGTCTCGGCCAACGCACTTTCTTCTCGAACTCCTGGTATTCGGACTCCTTCTCTTTTCTGTAGTCCTCGATCTCCTTCTGTGCTTCGTTTCGGGCGTCCTTTACTCGCTTCGTACGGTCTGGGTCGGTTAGAGTGTTGATGCGGCTGGGTACGTCGGGCGGTGTTTACATTCTCTTGCTGGTGAGTGGTTAGCGACTACCCGAACAGGCAAGCTTGTGTGCTGAAATACCTTGCTGAACAATCTTCTGAGCTTCGCGCTCGGCCTAGGTGCAGTGTGAGCTATGCGGAGGTTGTAGTGGGTTGCGCTGCCTTACATCGAGCAGGGTCTGGATTCCCGCAGAGTTTTGGGCGGACTGCAGCTGTCAGTGTTCGCTCCAGCTTCCTAATATTGATGTCCTCACCATCTTGAGTGCTGATTTGCGGGGATGTTGGTTGTCACAGGGTAGAGTTGCGGAGAGGCACGATGCAGCCGTCGACTTGGCGGAAGGAGCTCCAAGGCCCGAGCTCCCACCCGCAGAGAAGCCGCTCCAACTTTACACAAGGCCCCGTCCCCAACTTCGCCTCTACTCCACGGTCCCCGCCATGTCTCGAGCGTCGCAGATCACACTGGCGACTACGTGCGTCACCGCAATCGGTACCGTAGCATTTGTGCACTGGTCGCAGAGGAACGACAAAGCTGTGAGTACTGCGGAACGGACATGGTCCAGAAATTATCTAACTTGTATCAGGCAATGCATATGGGCGTCATCCGGGACTTCGAACAGCAACGAGTCAAGCGCGAACGACAGGCCGACTTCGAGATGCAGAGAGAACTCGAGCAGGAATACAGGAAATATCAGACAGTGTCGGATGGAGGCCCCGCTGAACCACCACCGCAAGCACGATGATAGCCCGAGTAGACCATGTCTGCTGCGCAAAGCCCGGCAACTCATAGGCATAGCGCCACATCAGCCTTGCTGCCCGCAGATACGGTCACGAAGTACCAGGCCTACCATGTGCCCTGGCTGCGCCACCGTTGAACCCAGACCAAGGAACCGGCGTATACATAGCCCTACGACTATCGGTGGCCCATCAACGGCTCGAGATGCGGAAAATCCATTCGCATGTGCAGTAACAACATGTAGGGTCGCGCGAACAAATCAACAATTATATCGTAGAAATTGTTCACAATGAGGACCAGGCGCTCGACGGACAACAAAGAGCTTTACTGAAGAAGCAGGCCGGCGGAGGAATGGAGCATGTGGTGCGGCCATTATCCAAGTATCACGAAGCATCGTTTACCGTTTAGGCGTCCTACACCGCAGTACGATGATACTCCGTCACAATTGCCAAGCCTTTTACTCCGGTCCTGTCGTTAATCCTGCCACGATGCTGCCCATTGTCAATACCGGGTTGTGCCAACAAAGCATCATGCGCTTCGAGATCCATACATGCAAGACACAACATTCATTGTTATGGTTCGCGCACATTGATGCGTGCAGTCACACACACCCAAGATTGCGTTCTTGGCGTTCGTTGTTTCCGCGCCGTATGCCCAGAGCACATTTGCGCACCAATGACGAGATTCCATGGTAGTGATTCATAGCGATTGCAATGCCTCCCGCTAGCAAACCACATCGAGGCGCAATCGGATATTCGGCAGAGCTTGCTCTCTGGTTTGTTGGTCATCCAGTCTGTGATGCGTTTGGCCACACCTCTGGTTCGGGAGGCTCGTTTAGTGCCTCGGCAGATCAGCAACTATGAGGTCATATACCCTGAGTAATTCGATGCACTTGATCGATTTGCACGTCATGAATATTCTACAGTGAAGACTTTCAGGGACAGACTCAGGTTGTGGTCGAGAATGAGAAGGTATCCAAAATGTGTCAGGCATCTGTGCAGCATTGCGCCCATTCGAGCAGATCAACGGCGCTTTTACGGCGTATATCAACGGGCGCCCAAAGGAATCGCATGCTTCAGCCACAAAGATCAATGTGATTTAGCCTATAGCATGGTCAGATCGGGAACAACTGGTCAGGCACCCAACTGCCTGCTAGATTATGGCGTTGAGCTTGGCTGGTATGGTGGCGGGTCGCAACCGACTAAGCTTTACCCTTTGCCCCAGGCTTTCTTTGATGACGCAGGGCTGTGCAACCCATGTCTTCCGCCAGCACAACATTAAAGACCCACGCCTGCCTCTTCACAAACCCGTACATTGATCCTACCCTATACCTAGCAACTCCGCTACACAATCACACTGCAAACATCTCACGTTTTGCTTTCTCATACCACACTACTATCACATCCCTGTAGCTTTATCGGTATTACCTCGACCCGACATCTGGTGTCGCAAATTACATCCGCGATTCTCCTGTATCACCGTCACACATCAACTCCGTCATGAAGTTCTCACAGATCCTCACCGGCCTCGTTGCCGCACAAGTAATCAGCGCCGCCTCGATACCCGAACCCAACGCGCTCAACGTCCTCGAAGAGCGACGAGTTGTTCCTCCCTCCGAGATTGTCTCGCCAGACCACACACTAGAGCGTCGCAAGGGAGGCGGTGGCCGTGGAGGTGGTGGCGGAGGCGGTGGCAGTCGCTCGGGTGGAGGAAGCAGCGGTGGCGGCTCTTCAGGACGTACATCACCCTCCTCCAACGCTGGTGGCCTATCCTCCGCTGGATCAGGTCGACCGCGCACTTTCGGCGGTGGACAATACTATGGCGGCGGTGCTCGAACACCCTACACCGCTGGTTCGAAAACGCCCAAGGGACTCATCGCCGCTCCTCTGATTGGAGTAGCCCTCGTAGTGGCCATCATGCCCGGCCTGTGGCTCCACAGCGCCTACCCTTACTATTACAACAACCCCTACCGTTTTTACAACCAGTCCGCGACCAACGACAATGACGACAACGACAATGACCGGCGCGCACTGTGGACACGCCAAACGCAGGGCCGCAATGAGACTCTTCCCGTCGTGTGCTTGTGCGAAGAGGATTTCGTCTGTGGATGCGACGAAAACGACGACCAGCAATACCTCAACGATCTTGTCGGTAACGGCAGCTATGCCGCACTCAACAAGACCCTCGTCACCGTTTCTGATGTCAATGGCACCAGGTCTCTTGTTCTAAATGGTACCCTTGAGAAAGGCACCACTGCGCCTGGTGGCACTGACGAAAGCGGAGCTATAAGCTTGAGTGCCGGAAAGTACGTCGGATACTACGCCGTTGGCATGATGGTGTTGGCTGGAGTCTTGATGTAAGACCAAGCAACGCTCGACTTCATGGATGGGAGATGTATAATATGACGACGTTACGATTATTTTAGAAGAACAACGGGGGCGTTTGGGGGATTTTTCTTTGTTCAGCGGGATTCTTGTCTGGATAGGACATTTGATCCCGCCAGGCTTGGTGGAAGATATGGATATACCCACAAGTTGATTGTTTGGCTTCATCTGCGTTGAGGACCTTTATACGTATCACTCAATTATAGACCCTCACATTTTCGAACAGGACGTTTGCCCGTTGTTGGGATTTGCTGTAAGGAACAGGTGAATCTCCACTGTGACTTATCGTAAGCTTTATAAGCTGTTAACCCTGTCGTGATTCCTTCGTGTCGCCTCGGGCAACGAACGATGTTGGGTTGCTCGTCCTGCGTACAATGATTCCGGTCAAAACAGTGACGCCTTGCTACTGACTCATAGGTTATTGTGACTTCGTGGAACCAACACGCGGAGGAGCAACCGAACGTTTGGAGATAAAGAAGGCGGTGTATACCATGTATAGAATGATGCAAGTGGGATATCGTATCCAATGCTATCCAAAGAACATACGAACAGCAACCGGATATATCTTCGCCCTGTTTCCGGTGAGTGATAACTAGGCAGTGCCGGCATCGTTACAGGTCCCGAGACACTCGCCTGGTACCGTATCTGCGGGAACGATGGGCGAGATGGTGCGTGGGGTATTCGAGCGCATGTAAGTCAGCTGACGCGGGGTCTAAGCGGTGAAGTGGCACATCGTACAATTGCTACTTAGGAGCATATGAAGCGATGGTCTGCCCGGACATGCGGTTCTCGCTTGTTTGTACGGGCGCATCCGTGGAGCGCGATAGGTCTACG